TTTTTGGGGGGGGGGGGGGGGGGGACCGGGCGCGGCGCGGGCACAAGGCAGGCGAGAGGAGTGACGAAAAGTTTAGGAAATGTGACTGGCATGTACTGTTGGTGGTGGTGGCGGCGGAGGGGGTCTACGGTGGCGTGGATGGTGTTGGTCACTGGGGTGTGCCAGGTATTGAGGGTGTCAAAGGGAGACACGGACAACGGGTCCATTCCAGTCGGCGTGCCTTCTCCCTTTCGCGTCGACATGGACCAGAGCTGGCGACCTACCGACCGGCTACACGAGACACAAGACACCAACACAGCTAGCGCTCAGCAGGATACACACTCCTAAGGATGCGATGCATACAGCAGCAGCAGTAGTACAGCAGGGTGCAGTGATTTTCCTCACTGGACTGCTGTCAGCAACGGTCTTGGTTGCTTTTGCGGGGGTGTCTCAATGGACCAGCTGACCCTTTCACCTTGTACTACTTCGACCAGCTGTACAGTACAGTACACCTCCTGGCTGCTGGTGTCACACGTGTGGCGCTGCTGTCACCCAGAGGGTCTGTCTATGTCAGCAACGGTCTTCGTTGCTTTTTCGGGGGTGTCTCAATGGACCAGCTGACCCTTCACCTTGTACTACTTCGACCAGCTGTACAGTACAGTACACCTCCTGGCTGCTGGTGTCACACGTGTGGCGCTGCTGTCACCTAGAGGGTCTTGTCTATATACACTGGGCGCGGCCGCAAAAGCGGTACAATGTCGGCAGCAGCAGATTGTCCGCTTACGAATCTCTGTTCGGCCATACAATAGAAGTCCAGGAGCACGTCCGGCTCTATGTTACACCACCCGACTTCCACCCCACGGCTGCCTTGAGGGAGTTTGCGTAAGGCAGTAGAACAGTAGAACAGTAGAACAGTAGAACAGGACCCGAGAAACATAGTGCGGGTGTGACCCAAGAAACAACGTGCGGGTATGCGACCCACACGTCTACTCTACTTGTAGGTGCATATTTCCAACGATACCGTCACGGAGAACATTTCCAACGTTCGATACATTCTTGTAGTGTACACGGTAAACTACGAAATCAGCTCCCATTGCGCAAAATAATTAGCTTCGGCGCGTTAAAGGCGAATGTGATGTCTGCTGACAGCAGTCACGTTACTGCTCAGAGGGAGGGCATATACAGCGTATATATATCGTACGTACAAGTAGCAGTTCTTAGAAAATGGGAAGAATCTACGTCGATGCCGTCTGTGCCGTCTCTGGGAAAACTTCAATAAAAAAACACAAATGAATCCCTCCGACAAACGAAACAACGAAACCGTCTCCCGTCGCGAGCTGTAAGTACCCCGCACCTGGGCAACGGTCATCGCCACCGAGCTCGAGACGTTGTACTCCCTCCCGTCCCCCGCCGTCTTCACCCGGACCCCGATCGTCTCCTCCAAGCCTACGCCAGACCCCTGCTCGATATCGCCGCCTGTTGACGCTGAGGAGGAGGAGGAGTGCGAGAGGGTGCCCCGCCGACGGGAGAGAAGAGGAGCCGATGACTGCCGTGCCGCCGTGATGGCGTCATCGGCTGCTGGAGTCATCTCCCAACCTCCGCGATCAGAGACCCGCGCGCAACCGGGGCGCGGTAGAGGGCTGAGGGAAGGAGAGCGAAGAGCAAACGAGCGCTCTGCGTACACTGCGTGCATTTCCTGTTTCGTTCGGCTCACCTCGAAGCTCTCTGGGGGGGGCACGATGACGGGAGAAACCATAGGCACTTTCAGTTCAAGAAAACACTGTCACGGGGCCGCCGCTATTGCTGTGCCTGTGCCTGCTCCGGCTCACAGCTGCACTCACAGCTGGTACTGGCCTGTGTGGCCTCTCTCTCTCTCCTGCCTGATACGAGCACAGGGAGAATGGAGGCGAGGCCGCCAGTGCCGCTACGGCTCAGTGTCGAGGAACGCGTGGAGCACGCGGTGTCCAGCGCGGTGCGGAGAGCGCTGGCGGAGCAGCGAAAGACACAAGAGGAGGAGCTGGACTCTCTCAGTGATGTCCTGCAAAGGTGCGGCGAGCTGACAACGGCAGCAGCAGTCATAGATATGCCTATCACACAGCTTGTGTTGGTGAGTACGAGCAGCGCGCGAGTTGTTGGGCAGCAGTGAGAGAAAGATTTGAAGAGGTGAGTCACGGTAGTACGGTTCGTCATGAGTCTTTGGTGCATCACGCCATGGGTTGCTGGCGACGGGCGGGCGTGTGTCCGAACCTACTTCAATCTGGAGCTTTCGCGGCGGTTGCTCTCTCACCAGGAGCCCGCATGGCTGCTGCTGTCTCAACCATCTGCTGCCAACGCGACGGGGAAAGCTTGGCGGTCGAAGGCGTGCAGTTTGATCGATTACGCTGGAGCACTGGGCATATTGCTTACCAGCTTACCAGATTGTTTTGCAATTGACCAATGTACAAACTCTCCGCGCCCGACTGGCTCTCTCTCCTCTCCGCCTCTCCCGCTCTAATATACCAGACTAAGTTTTTGAGGAAATGGAACAGGAAGGGGGTATGTACGTAGACCCATCGCTAGTCCTAACTTCCCCGATGGCGTGCTTTATCCAACATATTTCACTTATTTATAACAAGCGTGCTAAGGCTGCTGGTCCTGTCCGACACCACCCTCCCTCTTCCGTTGTTTCGTAACAACTCTTCAGGAGTCTTGCCGCGCTGGCGGGCGAGCGCGACCGGGCTCTCCGCTCGCTCGCCGCCGAGGAAGACAGAAGGCGAGACATGATCGAGGAGCTGACAAGCCTCCTCGGGGGGGAGCTTTCCTGCGGAGATGTCTCTCGCTTGGCGATGGGTCTCGAGCGCATCGAGAGGGAGGCGGGGCCCGCCGCCGCCTCCGAGGAGGAGGGGGGCGGTGGACAGGAACGAGGAAGGGCGTGGGTGCTCGAGGTCGGTTTTGTTGCTGGTTGCTCGTCATGCCTTGCTTTTCGTTTTCAGCAATAGAGCAACACTTTCCTGCTGCGACAGGTGCTTGTTTGAGACGCGCTTTTGTGTGCCAATGCGCGTATGTTTGCTGAAAAAGCAAGTTTGAAGTGTAGTAGCACCTCATCCGTGCAAATGGGGCAACACCGCCATCATTGCACAGCGCCGTATGCTCACTCCAACTGATTTGCACCCTCACCAGATCTCATGATGTTTTGCGGTTGATGCTGTGCGAACTTGGTCCGATGAAAAGCCAGTGCCCAACCAGATTTTCGGGAACCTGGGCTAAACGACTAGCATCCGACGTGCAGATTTTGAGCCCCCCCCCCCCTGTTCAGGAAAGTCATCTACAGAAATGCTGTCACCACGGAAGGCGGGCGTGGGGGCAAACGTGAACGGCCCGAACTCCATGGAGAACTTGAAACAGTCACCCGGGTTGCTCAGATCCGCGAAATGTCCTGCAATAAATGCGTGTCGCAGAAGTGCATGTTACAAAATTGGATATGGGCATGGAACGGA